TTATTTTTTTATTATTTTTATATAAATTAATTATAAAAAAATATATTTTTAATATTTTTAATATTTAATCTAAGAATATAAAATAAAAAAATCCTTTAATTTTTACCGTCCAATTTCTTCCTCGCATAAATCATAATTGTGAAATTTTCTCCGTTAGTAAAGGCTGGGCAAACAGTCGGTGCGGTTGCCGACCACCATTTTTAATTTCATGGCCACCGCGCAAAGCTGCGATAATGGATTTCTATTATCATTGTCATACTATTTGGCGAAAATTGAAAGATGGTTGCCGACCGTTTAATACGGTAATTTAGGGTAATTATTATTATTATTATTTTTTTTTTGGTACAAATTATTATTATTTTTTTTTGTACAACCATCCGGTATTCAGAAACTCATTGGACCACTGACTAATCCGGATTCGAACCGGACAGGACCCAATGGGCGGCAAAACTCTCCCTCGTGAGTTTTAACGGAGCTGTATTCTCAGGATTTGAACTCAAAACCTCTGATTAAACTGGAAGAGTCTCAACCAACTCATCCACCCGCTTATTGATAGGGAAATTATTATTGTTGTACCACACAGTTAATATCTAATTTACTCTCTTTTTTTTCCAAATTTCAATACCGCAGACTATGCAGTATTCACTAGTTCAATGACTATTTCAAATTCATACAGTTTCATACAATTTCAGATTTTATGCAATTCATTGCCAACAAATATTGAATGAAAAATATTTTCATTTCATTCTCCATTCAAATAATCATCATAGATAGAAAAGAAAGCATAAATCCAATCTAGAGTCCCACATAAATTGCCTAATCAAAATAGTTCTAAAGCATAAAGCTGAAGTACTACACACTGCACTCAACAAAATCCAAAATATACCTATAACTCTTTGAGAACCCTAATTATCAATTGATCAACTTCTATTTACTTAGAAAGAAAACAGTCCAAGTTTACTAAAATACCAAAAACTCCAGACTGGCAAATCTTGTATAGCACCATTTATCTGTATCAGGGCAAGCTTTTCTGTTCTGTACAGACTGCACTCCCACTACTTACTAAGAGTGCTGTGCAGACCGTCAATCACAATTTATGTTCGTGGGGCGTAAAACAAAACAAAAATCCACAAAATTGTTTAAGGGTTATACCAATCAACGCTTAGCAAATGAAACCCTAAACAATTGAAGTTGCCATGCAATTGACTACTCATCATCATCAGAAACTGCACCAGGATCCTTTTCATAATCTGATTGAACGACCAAGCAAAAAAGGGTAGTCTAGCTAATAACATATGATTTTATATTTTGATTATCATCTACTAAAGGAATTAAGGATAGAAAATACATACCCTTCTTAATCATTTCAAGTTCATCCAGCTCCTCTTCATCAGAAACAATTTGCCCCCTTTGCCTTAACCAATCTTGGGCACATGATACTAAACGAATTTTATATATAATATATAAAATATTATATATTTACATTATTTTGTAATGTGCAAAAAGAACGGGAGGTATAGGTAATGTTTATGTAAGGAAACGAGAGCCACCTCAATTATATTTTGATTATCATCTACTAAAGGAATTAAGGATAGAAAATACATACCCTTCTTAATCATTTCAAGTTCATCCAGCTCCTCTTAATCAAAA